ACAATAGCCTCACATAGTTTAACTGGTATTTAAAGCTTGAATGTAGAATGGGGATGGTGAAAAATCAAGTGAAATATGAAGTCTACAAATTTTTGGAAGGGCTTCACTCAGGTGACAGCCCTGCTTATTATTTTATTGTTATAACAAAATAAATAAATAATGTCACCAAAATGTCAAATATCACCAAAAGTGGCTCTAGAGTCATTCATTTTTTTACATTTTTTAATACATTTGCTACATGCATGAGATGTTTCTGATCAATAAACTTGTAAAAAATCTAATTTTCATCGGAACACCTGAAAGGAAATTTTTTACGATGTATTTGTGTCAGAAATTGTATTAAAAATTTAAAATTCTCTTCTATAGCCATTTGTGCCAAAATACCCTGTAAGGCCTTGTACTATAGTACAGGGTACATTTTGCCATCTTTTAGACCAACACATGTATAGTATCAAGAGTAGATAATACTTAGAAGAGAGTGTCCTACTGGCTATAGGGTCTGCTTCATCACCGCGTAGAATTGAAGAGTCACATTCAGGTTATTTTCAGTATTCTTGAGTAGTTATTCAAAAATAACTAGCAATAACTATAACTACTCAATAAAAATACTGAAAATATCCTGAATGTGACTCTTCAATTTTATGCCGTGATGAAGCAGGGGGGTATATGCACAGTAGGACACTCTCTTCTAAGTATCATCTACTCTTGATAGTATACATGTACATGTATTGTGCATTTATTAATTTGTTTTTCTTTATTTTTCTCCCTTCATTATCATTAGTACAAATGTTGCGGTGTGACTAACGCTAGTGACTGGTTTGATCCAAGTACTAATTGGTTCAACTCCTCTCATCATAACCAGTACCCAGTGTCTTGCTGTTCTTCAGCAACAATTAGTGATCCATGCACTGATCTTCACCAGAAAGTGAGTCTTTAAAATTAACGTGTTCTTTTTCTGTTTAGTACACTATATGATCAGCTTCTCCTTTATCAATTATCACATTTTCTTATATTCATTTTCTCTGCATACTCTCTCTTTCTTTCTCTCTTCTCTCACTCTCTCTCTCTAGGGTTGTCAAGATGCCCTTCTTTCAAAGCTACGGCTTGTAGTGGATGTGTCTTTTGGTGTTGCAATTGCTGCTTCTCTTTTACAAGTGATACTGTCACTATTAACCCTGCTTCAATTAACATTCTCTCTCTCTCTCTCTCTCTTCCTCTCTCCCTCCCTCCCTCTCCCTCTCTCCCTCCCTCCCTCTCCCTCTCCCTCTCTCCCTCCCTCCCTCCCTCTCTCTCTCTCTCTCTCTCTCTCTCTCTCTCTCTCTCTCTCGTGTAGCTGTTGACAGCAGGGTTGACGTGTTATGGTAACAAGGTGATATCCAAATATAAACACTATGACATCTTTTAGTTTTATGTAAACAGTTATTAGCTCTGGAGTGTACCAGTAAATAGTGTTTTATATAACCAATTGTACATGTTTTCCATTTATTATTCTGTGCTACTGTTCTCTTTGTTGTTATTGATCAGTATACCCATTTATTGATTGATTCTTATTATTAACCTGATATCTATTGATAATACAGACTAGCCTCTATATAATGGACACTTTGAAAGCGTCTCTGTTATACAGAGGTGTCCTTTATGTGGAGGTTATTTTATACAGTAAGGAATGTAATTGGTACACTAGGTGCTGTCCGTTAAATGGAGGTGTACGCTATAGAGAGTGTCCATTAAGAGAGGCTATACTGTACATGTACATTATACATGTATAAAG